TTTTAGCCTTTCACTTGCCGACTGCTTTCTTTGGTCCAAAGGCATTCATGCATGAGAAGAAGCAGTTCCTTTTATGGGGTATTTTGACTGTTTTCATGGGATATGGATTTGTCCGAAAATTGGCGAACCCCAATAGGTGCTTTCTCTGTTAAACATGTTCGAAAAGAGGGCCCTCTCAATTTGACACCCATTTGCGGTATGTCATTTTGAGGTTTTTTCTTGGGGATGAAAATGGAGGCCAAACACTGGAACCCACATGAGGGTCTGACAGCAGCATTGGTAGTCTGCTGGCTTGGGAGGACACAGGGGGACAACCCAAATTTCCCCCTGTGATAAACCTGTGGCGCGACATGAATGTGACACCCGCCCTTAGAGCCCCTCCCGCCCCGATGCCGATGTTCCGTAAACAGGCAATTCCCCCTGTCCCTTCCAGGAGAAAAGTGATGAAACATGTATTGTCCGTCACTCATATGGGTCAGTTTGTTTGAGGGTATCCTTTTGGGAGAATCAACAGGGAAACTAGGGAAACCACGGAGTCTCGAAGGCGGACCCGCACCTCTACGCGGCCAACGTGCGGCAGCTGATGCTGGAGAAGCAGCGGGAGCTGGAGAGCCCCGCCGGAAAGTTGGAGACTCCCAAAGAACAGGAAACCAAAGGAGTCCAGACCTCCAGTGACCTGGTTTGAAGAGGTTTTAATTTTGCCGCCATTTTGATAGATATTTATATATTCCCATGCACACACACATTTTCATATATGTTTTTATGTCTTACCTCCTGTTGGAGGACCTCCCCTTCTGGGTGCCCTGTTAATTTGTAGGGGCACTTACCTCCCCTCCTCCCCTCCCTCCCTCTCCCTCCCTCCCTCCTCCCTCCCTCTCCCTAGCTTGGAAGCTGACGATTGGGATCCCCGCGTTTTATGATTGTTGGAAAGAGTGTACCTTGTCCTTGTTTGAGGGTCGGCAACTCTCTGGGTGGCAAACGGAGTGCCCCAAAGGTTTCGGAAGGATTAAGGATTAGTTGTGTTGGGCTTTCGCATTCTTTCGAAGGAAGCCAAAAGCAACCGCCCATGGTGCACCACCCTGCGCCCAGAAAGGTTCTCAGTCCCCACATGAGGTCTGAATTGCATGGTTTCAGGTTCTTGCCCTGATGGGCAAGGGGGAGGGGGGGCTCGTATCTTGATCAGGGTCATCATGAAAGAGGTCAGGGGACCCACACCTCATCCCCGAGGAATTCTGGACGTCTCTGCTTCTGTAAATTTTCAGTAAACCCCATATCCTGTTTTGTGTTGACTATGTTTTTGTTTACCAGGTTGGGATGCTACGTGGCCCAGCATTTGCTTCCTGAAAGGAAACCACAGGATTGGCAATTTGTCAATCTTGCCAGGCCCCATTTCACACCCATAGGGCTAAGATGTTCCACTTTGCTGAGCAAACCCCGACATTGCTTAAAGAGCTCACGCTGAAGGCTTTGAGGAGCGGCACCTTTGAAGAAATTCAGGGGCCTTACAAAATTCGAAAGGGGCCCAGGGGCAGCAGGGTTCTCCACCCCAGGTCTGGAGAACAATTGGCCCAATTTCACTCCAAGTGAATAGCTTTTCGGTTTCATGTTGGCTTCCAGGCAAGAAACGGCAACGATCCCTTGTTGCATCGCTTGCAAACCCACTGGGAACTTACCACTTGGCGGTTGATTCCCATATTTTGTTTGAGTGTTCAGTGGAGTTCGAGGGTTTTTGAATGCCTCAGGTGGTAGGGATCGAACTCACACCTTTGTGGGACCAATGTATAACAACTGAACAGGGCGGAGAAGTACGCGCGTGCCCAAGCGCACACGCACACACAATGCCGCACAGACTGCTTGCTTTGTGAAACCGTCCGCGGCTTGCACTGACCCTTCCACCAACAAACATGGAAGTGCACAGTGCACAGGCTCTTTTCGCAAGACGACCTTCCCTTGGGCAAAGGCATTTGAGCACTTCCATGTTAGTGGGAGCGAGGGTATTGAGCAGTGCTGGGACAGGTTTGACTTGTGAGGCGCAACGTTCCATTGCCCCGCCAGAGGCAAACAACAACGTTGATATGTGTATCACCCATCTCTTTGGATGGACACTTTGCATTGCCATGAAAAGGCCCAAACTGAAGAGTTGCTCGGGTTATAGCTCTAAGTCTGGCATATACCAAGCCCTTAGGCATAGCCTCATAGATCCTTGGAGGGACCTGAGGGTCCGGCTCTTTCGGCTTAGCTAGGCTGATCTGCCGGGCCTCCGATGAGCAGGTGGAGGATGTGTTGCGGGGCTGGCTGGGGCCTGAGCTGTGCCGGGCTTGAGGGAGAAATGGGTGGGGTCGAGGGATGGGAGGCAAGGCGGCCGAAATGCCATCAACGAAGCACTCAGCATTCAAGATTTAGCGTGCCTCTGGGACCCACCCACCAGCGCCACCGCCCGCATGGTGGTCGTGGGACCGTGACACCGGGTGGAAGGGGGTAGAGAGGACCGGTCTCAACACAATACAATGAGCCGCCCTTTTTATTGGTTCTGCACCCCGCTCGTGGTGTCTCGACCATGTCTTGATTCTGACTGAAAATCGGGTGTCTTTTTGCAAGTGCACTTTTTCAGATTTTTTGGAGAAAACTCAAAAACGGACAACCCGACCACTTAGTGGTCGACATGCATCCGCCTCTTTAAATGGCGCACACCTCCTCATTCAGGTCTTGCTACGCCGTATCTCGGAAGATACTCTCCCGGAACCCCGTTCGGCGGGGTGGTTTGGACCATTCGCCCTTTAAAGGGACCGGGACGAACCGAACGTCGAACGGTCACACAAGAGGCACAGGCGCTTCCCCGGTGGCGTGTTTCAGGCGGCGCCGGGTGCAGCTGCAGAAGCAGGTGGCGGAGGCGCTGCAGCCCAGGCAACGCCTGAGGCAACGGGGGTGTGGGGTTTGAGGCGGGAGGGTGGGGTGGGGTGGGTGGTTAGGTTAGTGGTTAGATGGCATTTTCGGGCTGTCTTTTGCTTTTTTCTCGAAGAACGGGGAGGAGAGGGAGGGATGGGGTTGACAAGAGTAGAGGCGCCCTTTTTGGAATATTAGTGTTTTTTGTACCACTAGTCGCTAGTTGAGCAAGTCGGAATAGACTGGGTCACCAGTTTGTCGCTCTCTTACGTGAGGCCAGGAAAGAAGTGATCAGGGTTTTAGATGCATGCCAATGTTGCAACGTGCGTTTGCAAAAAACGTTGGTTTTCGCGCAAAATTGTCCAAGCAGGGAACCTGTTGTCCGCGTTTAAACATGAAGTTTCAGAAGCACATTTGTTCGCGCGAAGAAGCACGTCGGAGGCTCAGAGATGAGAAACGAGAGGTGTGTTTCGGAGAGGGGGGATTGACAACACTTCTCTGCACACAGTATTCTGTGAAGCATCCTTACAACCTTTTTAATGACTTTGGTTCTGACTGTGCCGTTTGCCTTTACCAAGGTGATTGTTGTGTAATTAGTTTGTGGCGCTAGGAAGCGCTCTTCTTGTGCAGAGCACCATTGTTCCCTATTGCAACACCACAAGTTTTCCGCAGTCTCGAGTATCTTCTATTGGGTGCTATATCATTTAAATAAATATTTTCCCCGATGGAATGGGGACTTTTTGCCACCCGGCCAGCAGGCAGGCAGGCTGGGCGGGGGCCTTAACAAGCCCATCCTAAACCCGCCCTAAAACTGATGCGGGAAAATCCATACACGTGGGATAAGCAATCCTGCAAAAAGGGCGACCTCTTTGACTTGTCTAACGGGTTCTTGGGAGATCAGCATGGGCTTGATAGTTCTTCAGAAGCATCGATGACCTGGGGGTGAAACATGTGACAATTGATTTGTTTGCGGTGCTTTATGCATTTTGTTCTTGCTGAACGGTTTTTCCCTTTGTTTAGTGGGCCGCCCACTCAAAACGGTCAACCTCAAAGGGCTTCTGTGCGGGTCGCCGGGCAAAACTGGGGCAGACTGCGGAACCTGCGGAAGCGGGGCCACCGGAGCCCGATTCAGCAGGCACAAGGACGGGGCCTTGTGTTTGGGTCATTTGAGGCTTTTGAGCTGTTCTCAGGGATCTAGGCCGTTGATGAATTACGTGGACCCACTTGACCTGCACATGGCAGGGTTTCTTTCACGCGGAACCCTTAAGTTTGGTTGGTGAAGTACCTAAGGAAACTTGTTTCAAGTGCTCTTGCCGGCGTTGACTGTGCTTGCTAAGCACCCTTGCTGGCTACTCGCAGGAGAGCAAACGCTTCCGGGAGCGACTGCTTGAGTCTGATGAATGATGGCCTTGCCATGCAGATCGAAAGCTTCTCGCTAATGTACAGTTGGCCTTCGCGGCGCCATCTCTTATCACTTTTCTTGTGGCATGCTGCTCCTTTTGGTATCTTTTTGGCTGATGAGGGATGGCGTGTCGCAGAGACCCAGCACGTCAGATGCGGTTTGTGGACGTGTATCCCTGCCAGATTGGCTTGATTCCGCCGTGTGATCAGCTCCCGCGGATCGGTTCCCGCGGCGGGCATTTGAACCTTAGCTTCAGCATTCTTGATAGGTGTGCTGTAGACCCTGGTCCAGGGTGGCCTTGAGTGTCCAAATAATTGTTGAGGAGCTCCCAAGGCTTCCATTTGCAAAACTCATGGTGTTAGCCCTTGCTCCCCCCTTGGGATTGGGAGGCCCTCGGCAGCCACATGATTTTGTAGTTGACCTGCTGTTCCACACACTTGCGGAGTGAACGAAAATGAATTCGTTCAATCTGTCAGTGTCGCGCGGCAAGGGGGGGCAGGGCGGTGCACAAATGAGCATGAAGGCCATGTGCAGATACCTTCTGCAGCTTTTGCGGTTCGACTTGAGAATCAATGGCACATATCGCAAATGCAGTTGTCACATAAGACGAAATGGCAAAGCAATTGCATGTCAATGGAACCAGATGCCTCAGCAATACGATGAATTTTTCAAGATTAACAACCCATAAAAACATCATGGCAAAGAAGTACACCATGTCCATTACTCGCGTGGATTCTGCGCGCCGGAGCGGCTCATGCCTCCAGCTGGCAACGTCGAAGGATGCCTTGCAGAGCATCTTGGCTGGCAGCTAAGAATGTGGCTCGTAGCTGGTCCACCCTGTCAGCTGTTTACTTGAACTCTTACTTCTGGTTTACAGAACATTTGGTTGAATGTCATTCGCACTTGTTCATGCCCTGCGGAACTGCCACGCCAAGGAGTGAAGATTGTGTTGCGTGCTGAATGCCAGACTTGCGCAACCCGGCGGCAATTTTGGTTTTTCGTCCCGTGGCAATTTGAACGCAAAACGCAACGAACGTGCACCGCTCAAAGGCCTTTCAACGAGCCCGCGCAGTGATGCCAGCCGGACAAGCCGCGGAGCTGTGCCTTGCCGGATTTCACTGGGGTACCCGAAATTTTCGAAAACAGAATCTGCATGGCATGTGTTTGAGGAGTTTTTGATACCAAATGGTGCCAAATTGTCGATCATGCGCATCATCGAAGGGAACCACGAGGGAAAAGGGTTATCATTCAGCACTTATCAATCAGTACGGGTTGAACTGGGCCGTCAATTTGAAAAGGGCCGCCAGCGGCGTGTCTGCAGTGGAAACCAAGCAGTCCCAAGGCCTGCTCAACGAAATATAATATGTGCAAGGTGCAGAATAATTAGTCACAGTGAAAATTTGTTAGGCAAGAAACAATCATGGCAACTTCCGATCAAACTGGTCACCGCAGCCCATGTACGATCCAACCAAAATTTGCACGTTGATCGCGCCTTCCAACTCAACACGTTAACCACGTTGCCAGTAAGCAAACAAAGCTCTTGTTAGTGGGTTGCGACTGGATGCCACATGGAGCTCACGGTATGATCACAACTGATGCGTTTCCACACATTTTCCCAGCAGCCAGTTTTTCTTTTGCATGTTTTTGTCGCCTGAGAAGTTGTAATCTGAGGATCCAGGAAATCAAACATGTCCGCACGGCCATGCGCGGCATAGCTCGTCATCGCTGCACGTTTTTGAGGTCACAGATACGCGCTCGGCCATGCACGAAAGGCGCTGGCACCCATGGATACATGGAAAGTTGTGAATCTATCCCAGATAGAAATTATTGATGGGATAGAATGAAGGGCTGCGTGTGTTGTTTCAAATGTTTTTTTTGATTTATGGAGTGGGCATCCCCCGGAAACCTCGGCATTTTGAAATTCCGGCATTGAATCTATGGTTTCTTTGGTTAGCCACCCGAAAGTTTGGTCCAAGAAGCAATGGTGCCCCGATTTGTAGTGAGTGTTTTTTGGTTTTTTGAGATGGTTTTTGTTTGCTTTCCTGATTCTGTTTCGTTTTGGCTGGTCGGAAGGTACTGCCTGTAGCAAGTTGTGTTTTATGTTTGTTTCGAGAAGAATCCTCGGGCCCCACTTGCTGCATATACAAGGAAACTACTGTAAGGCGTGACACGCCGAAAAGACAAAGCGCGGGGTTTCAAGAAGCGGCGAATGTTCTGGTTCATTGTCCTGTTCGTTTCATCAATTTGTCAGTTTCTTTCATTTTGGGGTTGCCCTTATAGAACTTTTTTCAACCCACCCTCTCTGTTTCAACCCTCCAGTCGGGGAGGCACCCGACATCCTCGCCGGCAAGGTGCGCGGGACTTTTGCCCGCTGCGAGTGCAAGTTTGGAACAGAAACTGGCCGGCGGTGTCTGTACAATTCCAAATCTAAGTGGCAGTTTTTGGTTGGAACGTGAGAAAGACACGTCTTGTGCGGCACAGGTCGTTCCTCACATTGAGCATGCACGGGTTTCTTGTCACAGGGCTGGGTGCTTTGACAGCTACAGAACTTGTCAGGCCCTGAAAACACTTTAATATCGATCAGCTTTTACACGAAACGCCAAGCACCTAAGAACTTGTGACAGATTCTCCACAGACGCATTCACAACCAACCCTCAGTTTGCAAATGTGGTCCCCGGAGATAATGATTACATGCCTCCTTTCTGTAGCAACTGTTTTGGGAAATCTAGGCCACTTTACTAGATTGGACTTTGGTGGCGCATCCAACCATTTAAACAGGCATGTCATGATTTTGCTGACAGCATTGGCTTAACTGTCATTCCTGACTCTTCAACGTCCTGCGGTGCTCAGAATCAGCTTGTTAGTGTTGTACTTGTACGATCTTCAAACCTGGTTGGAAGAATCCACCTGCAAGAACCAAAACACCAGCTGGCTGGCAATCAACATACCTGTCCTGCCTGTCAAGGTGACTAGTAAACCATACTTAGCTGTGCCCCTTCTCGTCACAAGCGTGCCAACGTTGACAACTCACGTTAGTGGCAACCCGTCTACTGCAAATGTTCTTTTTTACTCAAAACTACACAGTGCCAACTTGGCGGTATGCTTGGCAGGTCTGACATGACAGCGCGACCCTACGTGCTGCCAACGCAAGTCTCACCCGCGCACGTGAAGCTTCTACCAGGCAGACGCTTGAAGGTTCCTTGGCAGCACCAAACCACGGGAATTGCCTTCCAAATGCTGAGCACTGGGCACAAAATCCCAAGCCCACGGTGCCGATGGCCATTCGTATGGGTTCCAAAGTCTGAACTTCTGGATGACTGCGGCACACTGGCAGGCGGAAATGCGATAAAGAGAAAGCACAGGGAGCCATCTGAAAAACAGCATCGTCACAAAGCCGAAGCGGGCATGAATCACCATGTCCAGGTGTGTTCATTTGAGCCACGATCGTTGTTTAGCCAGTGGATGGAATGATACTGCAACCCAGGCTTCTTTGTGGTGAAACACATGGGGCGCGCAGGGGAAACAATGCGAAAATAGCTTTGAATCATTTTGTTGTCAGTCAGATTTTGGCTTGTTCGTCCGACAACTAAGGAAACATATTCTGACCAAGCTGAAACATGACCTGTTCCGGATGTTTGTCTTTGTTTTTCACCGGGAGGTTACCCATTGATTTGTAGGAGGGTCGCGAATGATGAACCAGGAATGGCGGGAAGGTGACACAGCTATTACTCCCGCAATTTGACACGGATGCCTCAAAAAGGGTCGCCCAAAGGGAGCTCCCACTACAAAGTGTGGGTTTGGGTTCCATATCAAGTTGCAAGGTGTATTAGGAGTGTAGCACCCACTTAGCTCAGGCCGGCGGTGTGCGGGAGACAGCCCTGGCCGCGTCTTCTCCAGCCAGGTGCGCTGCAGGTAATGAACCGTGGTGGTTGTTGTTTTCTAGCGTGCTAGCCTACAAGTCAGGGGCTCTCATATCTCTGTTTTGGCGATTTAAAACTCGCCTTGTGGGCCATGTTAGAATGAGTTCTCTTGGGAGAGGGGAGGGGGTGATGCTAAAAGGGACATAACCCTACTACAATTTGGTGGATTTCAGGTTTGTTGTGAATTCTTCAAACGCTTACCAGCAAAGTTGGCTAACTTCGACATCTCTTGGTGCCAGGAAGATGGTCGGATTTGAATTGCTGGTTCCATGTTGGTTCCCTTCTTGACTCGTCCCCAAGGTTTGACTTGCATACCACAGTTGGCAGGAACAGGGGAGTGTTGTTGCATTTGATCTGTGACAAGTCATGCCGGCCTTGCTTTGAGGGGATATGACCTCACCCATCAGTCTCTTTCCTGGAGATCCCTTGAGTTCCCCTGGTGCTTTAAGTGGGCACTCAAGAGGGACACTAAAGCTGTATGGCACCAGGTTGGGGATTGCAGTTTGTCATTAAAAGTGTGAGCAAAGAGCACGCCGAGCTCTGGTCAGGCAACCCCTCATCATCAAAGCAAACTTCTCGGGACACCCACGCATTTGTGTTGTTTGTTTTTCTGCATACGATCCGAGAACATTTGGAGTCAAAATGTCAAACGGGGAGGAATTCTGCCACACGATCAGTTTTTTGAAATTGACGCCGCACCCCAAGAGGGGCCAACTTTTTGCCACATCCCCCTTGCTGTCAGTGGCTTGCGCTTAAGCAAAACGCAATGGTCTTCAGTTGCAATCGCAATGTCCAGCAAAGCAGGGTCAGAACTAAGGCATCAATCATCTGATGCAAAGGCACCAAACGTAGCAAGATCCTTGTGGGTTAGGTTGCAAGCAACACAAATGGCCTCCCGAGAAAGCGCATGGCGATGAACTTTCATTGGGAACTACCAAAACCATGGTTGGTGCACATGATCCCTACCTAAATGATGTTCACCAAAGGGTCCCCAATTGGATACCTCTAACAGGAGCACGGTCTTCTCTCGTCCTTCATTCAAGTTCTACGTCTCAGCGTTTGCTTTCTGGTGCATGCATTAGAAGGTGGACAACATTGCATATATGGTAGGTACGTAAACATGACATTGCAGACGCCACAATGTTCGTCTTAGCCAGTTTTCTGTGAGATACGTTCCTTGCAGGCTGGCTGAAACCGAAAACTGGTGGTTGCAAAGCTCCCGAATCGCAGGAGTTGCGGGGGTCTGGATTTCTAGAACCTATTTGCTGCCCTCAGAGAGTGTCCAAAAAGGGGGCTAGTTCTGGCACTGGCAAGCTTCAGGGAACCCCCGGGCACCAGTCCGGAGACGAGGCGTGAAAGGGGTGGCTGTGGGTATGTGAAATGTCCTACACCTCAGGCGAAGCAGCAACTAGTAGTGATGTACCAGGGGAATCGAATCAGCAGTACTTTAAATCAGTTTCCTGGCCAGGGACAGTGTCCCCAAGATACTGTGTTACACTTTGTTGTGTGTTTTTCTACCAAAAGGGGTTCTAACCCAACTTGACCAAAAACAGAAAAAGCAAACAAACATGTATTTTTTTGCGGTCAAATTAAGCGTGCCGTTTGCTTCTTTATGAGGGCTGAGTGTAGAGCACAGTGTCAACCAGAAGTTGTTTCTGTAAAGTGTTTTCAAGGGTTATCCTGACCCATGGTGCGCTCACCAAGCCGGGTGGACTTATTTTGGGAGTTTCCCAACATGGGATCCAACAGAATGTTGGTTACCTTTTAGTTTTCCTTCCAGCATCATCCAGAGAACATCACAGATTTGGGACATACTTGTTATGGGTCCCTTTGCACATGTGCCCCAAGATTCACGACTGCAAAATCATTAGCTAGTGGGTGACTTGCTCACGGCCTCACGTATCTTTCATCTCCATGACGACCCGATCAAGAGAAGCCCTCGTTGAATGACAATGAGGAAGGCTGTTTCCAATGTTCTCGGTGTCATTGGTTGCATTTCCCTCGTTCCTTGGATTTGGCATCTCTAGCTTCAAGGGCTCGAGCTGAATTGCGGTTTGGTTTGCCATTTCATCATTTGACCCTGTGTATATATAATATATTATATACATATATATGTGTATATGTATATCCTTTTGGACAACTAACATCGTGTTGCAAGCCGCCCTAGAGGAATTGAACGCCTGCTCAGCAAATTGGAACATCGCGCGCACATTTCGACTTTTTGTCTCCTTCCATGGGGGTCATGTGCTGCAGTTCACCGGATACTGTTGATAGTCCCGATCAGTCTTGCATAGAGTGTTTATGGGTAGGCAGCTTAGCGCGGCGGGAACGCGGCGATTTGTGCGATTGCGATTTGCGATTTCTGCGAGCCCAAGGTGAATCGCAGCGATTTGGGGAATAGTAGTTAGTTTCAGGGGATATGTGCTAACCAATGTCTGCAATAGTTGCAGGCCGAAGCAGCGATTCAGAGGGCGACTGGGAATCCAGGAAGATCCTTCAGACGCAAAAGCTTGTGGCTTCAGATATCACTTTTGGCCCTTTCCCGTGCAGAGAAAGCAAGGCAATGTCAAAACCAATGCTTTCTGCGTCCCCTAAGCAGCGATTCAAAGCTAGCGATTTGAAATCGCTGCGTTTGCGATTCCCTGCTTTGAACCCACAGCGATTTGAAAACGCAGTGATTTGCGATTGCGAGTTTGCCTCGCTAAGGTAGGCAGTCTCCCAATTTTGTGGTGACCTCATCGGACATTGACACCTTGAGCACTTGAGCTTTGGTTGACCTGTCAGAGACGTGCCCTTTGAATTGGTCAAACACTTGCTGTTGGAAAACCAGGATGAACCTGGGGATCCCATGAAAGGAAGCCACAAGGGATGGTTCAGTTTTGTATCGAAGCAGGTGCATCTCATTCGTCGGGTTGGCCAGGCCGGAGCCGCCCATTGAAGAACCTCTCACAGTCCCTCCCCGCGGAGTGGGGCGTGGTCGGCCGTGGGAAACATGCATATTGATTGGGTACGAAGCAGAAAGAGACAAATGTGGGGCAACCCTCCAACGGTGACCACATTCTTCACTTGTGCAGGCAACTCAACTGACTGCAATATGTTTTCAAGCGGCAGGCCAGGTTCCCCTTGCCCTTTCTTGGGGTCAAGATGGTCAAGGCATCCTGAAGAAGCAGAAAGAGACAGATGTTTCATCATGTCAGCCCACAGTTGACAGCGTTTGACGACGTGCATTTCCCTTTACGCTGTCTGCGGTTCATTGAGCTAGAGGCTCAGGACAGGCAAGGCCGCACAGACAAGCGCGCCATGCTGGAGGTGGTAGTGGTGGCTGCAAGGCGGGGCGGGGAAGTGGGGAAGTTGCCAAGCTTCAGAGCTTTGGCATTTGATTTGCCAAGCAAATCCAAATGACCCCTTCCACAGCTATTGGAATGGAGTCACACAGAATGAAACGCAAAGGGTGCAAAGTGTCTACTATTCGTTTTTGAGGGCTAAGATGAAAAGCAGAGGATAAGGTTCAGGTGAATTAGAACCCGTGTTTGCGCATCTTTTTTCTTCTGGATCTCCTTTTGGGATGGCTAGAGGCTCGCAGATGTAAGGGAAGATGATCTTTACATGAGGACTCTATACCTCTCTGGTTTTCAATGCAACTGGAATTGCCAGCGTGTTAAGTCCCATGAACATGCTAATGATTGAGGAATAGTCGGAAGGGACAAAGAGAGACAAGACAAAAATCCAAGATGAATAATGAGATGACTCAACCAAAATATATAGATGTATATAGATGATGAGTGATTAATATATTAATTAGACATATCATGTCTTTCTCTACCCACTCTACCGAGCAACATACTTGCAACAGGTTTTCTTTGGGTTTCCCTTCTAAACTAAATAGGACCTATTCAATCAAAAGCATTCAGGTGGCTGGTTTCCTTTTGAATTCAATCTGGACCTACACCAAAATGGGCCCAACGACTTCAGGCGCACGGCGGTGGGCAAGTTCGGTGGTTCGCTGTCGGGGGTCCCGGCCCACCTCCTGGGCGCGGCTGTGATCAAGCAGCTGCTGGCGGCCGCTTGGGAAGTGGCGACGCCGGGGGGCTTCCCCGTTGAAGAGCCACTGAACTGGGTCATGTCACCTGGACATTTCGCATGGAGCCCCAAAAAAAAGGGGTGGCCCAGAAGAGCACTCCTCTGCAAGCTGGAGGTGGGTTCCATGTTTAATATGCGGGGGAGTGCTTAATTTGTCCAAAAGGGAACCCAAAGGCGATGTTTCATGTTTTAGTTGCTTTCAGACCCTCCTATGTTGCCACAGCTCCGGGTCACTTTGCCAATCCCAGTTTTGGTGCATGATGTCAGTTTCCTCTCGGGTTTGCAGGTAGCGCACGTGGTTAGGTTTTGCAGGTCGGAGGGCTGTGGAGGTTCATGAGAGATGGCCCATCCACTTTTCAACCTTCGTGACACTTTATTAAGAGGCTCCCAGATGATCTCATTGTAAACGCCTCGTCAAGTCGATCAGAAACTCAGACCATTGTGATGAAGCTCTCAGCAAATCTGCCAAACACGCTTTTGGTCTTTCTAGTTTTGAGTAATGGGCTGGGATGCTGGGGGAGTGTAAAGCAGACTTTTTGTCACAGGACATCAGGGACCGCGGAGGTGGCGAGGCGAGGGGAGGCCAGAAAGCATGTTTTGTGGCCATGACCCTTCAGAGACCAGAACAATAATTTTCTTGTGCTCCGCGCATCAATGGGCAAAGGAGTGACCAGAAACGCAGCAGTGTCGATTGCGCCAAGGACACAGCTGGCAAGGTGAATAATGACATGGTGGACGAGGCGGCTTGCAACTGACTCAGCTGGAAGAGTGTGGGGTCTGGAGAAGCGCAACATGTTCGACCAGATTTCCAAGATGTTGATTTTTTAAAAGCGACATTCCATTTAGATCAGCGAGGTTATTTACATGCGCGCTGCATGGTGCAAGGTGGGACAGATATACACGGCAGATTCGTTCGTGTCCAAAGAGTCCAGAGCATCTCCGGAGGGAGTCTCCTAACACAACAGGGCTTCGCGAGCTTCTTCAAGAGGTGTCTCCTTCCAACCCCCTTTTCCTGCATGTTGCTCGGGCTGGTTGGCAGTGTTTGTCAGGTGATCATCGGACAGGTGCTGACTGCGGGCTGCGGCCAAAACCCGGCCCGACAGAGCGTGCTGCACGCTGGCCTGCCAGAGACCTGCCCTGCCTTGACCATCAATAAGGCACAGGGAGGCGGGAGGCAGGAGGCGGGAGGCGAGGGAGGTTTGGGGGGAGGGGCATGACTGCATTTTTTTGTTGTTTTGAGTGGGCTAAATGGAGGTGAATCCCGAATGAAAAATGTGACCTACTAGGCTTACCAAGTAGGGTGGTCATTATGTGAAGGGATCAATATTTAGAAGGCGGAGACTTCTGCAAACGAACTCGTCCCTGGAGTGGGAGTCTGCTTTTCACTCTGTGCTCTTCTTTGGTGAGACGAAGCTCCTGGGAGCAAAGTCTGGTGTCAGAAAAGCATTCACGCTCGGTTTTGAATGATTGGAGGGTCCGACTCGTGGCAGCTCATTCCCCTGTGATAAGTCAAACATGAACATACTTGGCTGTCCATCCAAAACGCCCTCAATGTTTGCAGGAAGTGTCATTGTCCGGAAGGAATGCAAACGTACGCAGACACAACTTGTACGCCAACAAACATCATCAGGCACTCATGTGCACATGTATTCTGTATACATCTATACAGAGTTCCTCTTTTTGACTACCCCAAGATGGACTTAAACCCAGGGGTTCCCTTTTTGGGTGATGAACCACCCCTGGGTTTAGGTCTACCCTGGAGTAGTCAAAAAGTAGAGCCCAACATTTGTTTTAAACAAAAAGTACAGATAGACATATACATATATATACACAAGTGTATTTTCATATTTGAACGTGTATTTATTGAGTTGTATGTTTCTGTACAGAATACACGCCGATGCTGTGTGTTTGAAGGTGTGCGGCAGCGGGCTCGAGGCCCTGAACCTGGCGAGGCAGGCCATCCTTGCGGGCACCTCGGTTGCTATCGGCACAGCGGCCATCGGAGTTTCGGAGGCCGGAGGGGGCAGTGTGCTTCGCTTGCCATGGAAACGGGATGCCAGAATATATGTATCTCCAAGTGGTATCGGGGGTTGTGCTTGCCTTGCGCGCGCCTGGGCGCTTGGTTCTCTTTCTCTTTCGCGCTCTGTTCATCTCTCGCTCGTCCGAAGCTCAGGAGATGTCGACATCGTGCTGGCGGGTGGGCAGGAGAGCATGAGCGACAGCCCCCATGTCCTCTCCAAGAGCCGGGAAGGACAGGGACATAGTTGTAAGAAGCGAGGTTTTGGGCCAGAATTCTGCGCGATATCAGGGGCGTATCACAAGAATTTCCTTGACTAAGCAAATGGAATTCTGGAGTGGAGTTGGGAGACACGTTCGACCGTGTATGTGTACTCGACTCTACATGTATGTACGTACCTCTTTCAACTGGGCCTAACTCCCATCAAACAAATATCATGCGTGGCAACCACTCATCCAGCAGCCAAATGTCCATGCTGCTTCCCCGCCGAATCCGTCATTCGGCTCCGAGCTTTGCCGGCGGTTTCGCGATGTTTTGACCTGCCAAACTCATAAATTGTTTTGAGTGTCTTCCGCCTAGCAGAAATGACACCCCGCTCCATGAGTCATGTCGGGGCCTGCTCCCGAGGGTTTGTTTTGATTGTGGCCCTGACTTCCTTGATCGGAAAAAGGCTGCAGGATGCAATCAGAAAGTAAGAACTTGTGGAATTTTGTTCGAGGAGTAGATTTCTCCTTACAGGAGAGTTTAAGAGCGCTTCCTTGCTGGGACAGAAATAGCCCCAGAATGGTGGTGGTTGAGAAAGGGGCTTCAAATGGTGTAAGCTCAAATTAGACATTCTCATTTTGGAACACTTTCATAGACTAGTATTAGGGGAAGGGATCAAGATCCAACCTATCCAAGACAAGGCATGACTGCACGTTTGCACCTTGCATGTTGATTAGTGGTGTAAGCCACTTCAAGGAGACATGGGTGTGCCGACACTTATTTTTCTTCTTTCTTTTATTTTATGAATGAGACACAAACCAAAAACCCACCGGTTTGGTCGAGGGCAGCGGATGGGGGACTGGAAGATGGTGGACTCCATGATCGTCGACGGGCTGTGGCGCCTCAATTTGCGAAAGGCTCAACGGGAGGGCGGCTTCCAGAAAATGCGGGAGGGAAGCCAAGAGGGAAAAGGGACACCAAGAGGAAGCCGCCCATTTCAGCGCTCCCGAGTTTGGCTCTCAATGCAAAGAGGCGCAACAGGAGCCAAAACCCGCGCTACCCCAGGTTGATGGGCAAGCCTGCGTGTTTCCGAAGGGAGCTCGTGCTTGAGTCAAGGTGTTTATTGATCAGGGGGCTCACGCAACGGCAATCAGCACAGGCCCACAACCGCGACCTCGATGGTTTTTACACAAACAAACACGCAAAACACTGTGCTCAACGACGAGGCAGCGTGCATAGCGAGCGAACGGCTCGGGGTCAGCGAGCTCAGGCTTCACAAAGGATCTCCTCATGGCATTCTTGTCCCCCTTTTTTGTGAATAATTATGAACTTTGCAGATTCATTTGAGGCCTGCGGGGCTAGCCCTCCCACACCAGTGGACTGCTTTTTATGTTCCTCTGGCTCAGCGGGTCCTTATGCTTCCCTTTCGGGCAATCCAACTTTCGCCCTCCAGGCCCATTTTGATTGAGTTTCGGTGGGGCAGGGTTGGGGCAACCGCTTGTTTGAACATGTTTAAACGACTACAGTTTGTTTTTGTAGGCGTCCAGGGGCTGGTTGGGCGAGGTTTAAAGGGGGACAAAAGGAATCCTCGGTGGCTTTTAGGTGTGCCTTCAACGGCTACCACATGGGCGTGACCGCCGAAAACGTGGC